GGTATACACCACAGGTGCTCCCGCTGGCTGGTAGATCACAGGTGAGCCTGTTGGTGCCGCTGGCACCGATTGTTTGACGCGTGCATCTTCAGGAGACTCAACAGGTGAACGTCCCGGTCGCTCCAAAAGAGCAACGGTTTCCACAACAGCAGCCGCACCTCCACTCACTTCAGTTGAGCTTTGGTGTTTTCCACCCTGTCCTTCTTCTCGATTACCCACAACAGGTGGTTCACGAAATCCCTCAGACATCCGGGCAACTACTGGTGTTTGTGTCATAGGCACTCCCGAAAGAGTTAGACTATTCACACCTGGGGTCAAACCAGACAACAGACCGCCACTCCCATTTCCTCGTACCACTTCAAGTCCAGGAGGTTCTTCAGGTGGTAAGGACACTGGTCTTGCGACTTCTTCCGCAACAGCCGGATTCTGGGCGATTCGTTCGCCCGCTCCAGCCCGGACCGCCGCAACCTGCACTAGGGCTCCACTTCCCCCAGCACCGGTCAGTGCCATCACACTTTCTCCAACTTCCCCTTCCATCAGTGATCTTCGGGTTGAGTCTGATGATCTTGTCCCTGTTCTTTTCCCATGTGCTTGTCCAGGTGCGTCCATCTCCTCCAGAAGCCGGTCCAGCATTTGGTCTGCCGTTTCCGCGCGTTCTTCTTTTCCATGTCCATGGGTCCCATGTTGTACTTCTTCAGCATGAGCAGCCGCTTGAACTTGGCGTTCTTGTCGACGACGCTGAGTGAAGTCGCTGCTCGACATTGCTTCAAGGCAGCGTTGGGGTTGGGCTCATAACCCACGGGTTTCAGACTATGACCGAGACCCTTCCCGGAGGTCCCCACCAAGAGGCAGATGCAAGTGCACTTTTTCACTCCAAGTTGGGCTCGGTAAATTGAGCCAGTCAGTTGATTGGCCCTTGAGCCAAATTGCAACAGTCGGAGGACGTCTCAACGACTGTGAAAACTTTTTAAAAAAGACCTTAGTGGGGGTGCAGTGGTACTCTGCGCATGTTTCCCAAACCGCAACAGGAAAATGCCGGACGCTTCGGATACAATTACAACCTGGATTGAACACCGGGCCTTAACACCTACCGTAAGAACCCCTCAGTGTGGATACACTGTTTGGGGAGTAGAATTGTAATTTTTTCAAGTTGGCATGATTTTCAACGCAGCCAAGTTGGGGATCAACTTGCGAACCAACCAGAATACGTGTAAAACCCCACTAGACACACACCCATAGCAAGTCACCCCCAACCTGCCCCCAAAGAAAGGGAGGGTGGTTGAGGGAAGCAAGAAAGCTGCGGTATGCATACATTTTTACACATAAACCATCGTGAAACTGGCATTATCACTCCTCTTAGTTTTAAGCTGGCAGGATTTTCAACACAGCCAAATTGGGGATCTAGGTTGGGGTCAAACACGCTCAAGAGCGAACCAAGTAGAAACTTAGAAACGGGTAAAACCCCACTAGGCCCGCACCCAAGGGTGGCATTGCCATGGCAACCTGTCAAGAACAACATCTGCACCGGCAGGGGTACTCAAGAGCACCAGTTCTATTCTCGTCCCAAAAAATGTGTCCAGAAAATCTATACCACTCTATGCATCTCTATGCCAACATCATGTTCGTTGTATCTTATCCAATTTCGGGGTCGTGAGTTTTGACCCATAGCCAATCGAATGTGGTTCAAACTCATTGACCCCCATTTCAATGTTTGGCCATGGCGTATACATCTGGGCAAATCACTTTTATAATCTTATATATATATATATATACATGCTTCACTCCAGAAATAAACAGTAACAAGTCCACTACGGGCTGATTCCACTGAGGTCACCGAGGTCGCGGTGAAGTTCCAAGTTCCAATCACATTTTCCAAGGCACATGCGGCCCTTTCAAAATTTGTAATCTCAAAATCGCATGTTTATCATCATGTTTCAATGTAGTTTCGAACTATCACATTGGTTAAGACGGACCCATAATCCTGGTTAATTACAAACCTCATTGTACCCCAGTACATGCCCCTTGAATCTTCATTTTTCACATGTAAGTGCAATATCATAAATCCCTCCATTTCCGAGTGACCCCTTGGCCTTTGCGTCCCAGTCACATCGATGCCGCGAAGAGAACGCCCTTCTGACCATCCGCTAGACTACGAGCGGCCAAGGCTCGCTGAACGATGACCTGATTGGTTGACCAGTAGTAAACCTCAGCGGCGGGTGGTTTATAGCCTTGGCTTGTGCCCCTTTCTATCTGGGGTGAACCCTACACCTACATCTTTAAACATGTCTGGATGACATTGTATGGTCCCACAGGCAGCCCGGCAACCCCTTCATCGTGCATGTCGGATTTGCCTCAATCCTGTCTCAAAGATGAGCCAAATCCCCTGGCCCCTGCTCTGCATGTTTCATGGATTTTTGCCAAAGGTAAAACGCGTGGAAAAACAATGACCACAATTCCAGTGACTCGACACTTGGACTAGTTTCGGCTACCAAGAGTTTTGAACCCCAAGGGTCCCCACCACCTTGCAAGTTACTAGGGATTCCCATCATGGATTTTGATAATCCCCAATATTTTGGGTAGTATACAGTATAATTCCCCATAATCATCAACCAACAGGGGAATGGGACCATCCAGCCATCACAGCCAAGTGACATTGGTGAGGAACAAACCACTGAAGTTCCTGGGCTGACTGGTGTGGCTCGGGAGGGTTAACCCTGCTGATAGGGAAAACGCTTGTAACATTGGCATGTGTGTATGTATAATACATGTATATGGTGTGTATGCTTAAATTTATATGAGCTGTCTATATATATATATAAAGACTCACCGGTTTCCCGCCTTTTTTGTGCACAGCAAGACCTGTTAGGTCAAAAAACCTCACAGAGGCAAATAAAATAATTACATCACCAAACTTGTTCTTCTCACAAAGAAGAACTCAGACTCCCATTCAACCAAACAGCCATTCATAAAATCAACATAGGCGTTCCCCCCATGCTTCCTCGCCTACCCGAGGTAAACATGAGCCAAAGAACGCGGGTAGTGCTGGGCCCCGCCAAACCGGGGAACAACCAGCCCACCTACCCCAAACTCCGTATTTTCCTTGTTCTTTCTCTTTTGTCGTCTAGTGGAGTTTGTTCTCCCGCCCCAAACAGGAGGGTGGGTGGCTGTGGGAGCTGAAGCCGAAACTACCGAAAAAAGGGGATGATCAACCTATTCGTCTTTACTTCCGGGGTCGTTCATTCAAAGACTCACCGGTTTCCCGCCTTTTTTGTGCACAGCAAGACCTGTTAGGTCAAAAAACCTCACAGAGGCAAATAAAATAATTACATCATCAAACTTGTTCTTCTCACAAAGAAGAACTCAGACTCCCATTCAACCAAACAGCCATTCATAAAATCAACATAGGCGTTCCCCCCATGCTTCCTCGCCTACCCGAGGTAAACATGAGCCAAAGAACGCGGGTAGTGCTGGGCCCCGCCAAACCGGGGAACAACCAGCCCGCCTACCCCAAACTCCGTATTTTCCTTGTTCTTTCTCTTTTGTCGTCTAGTGGAGTTTGTTCTCCCACTTCCCCCTGCCCTGCCATGTATGGCATGCTCAAGTTGAGGCAAGGGTAATGACTTTGTACGTAAAAATTGTTTGTGAAACATGCGTGCATGAGGGGCCAAGTTCAATTCAGTCTCGGCCAGGATAGCTAATCCACTATTTATATACAGACGTGCTGTTTTACTGGACTGCCACCTCCCTTGAAGGAGGAGCCTATCCAGCTGGCCGTGACGCTGAAAATAAAAAGTGGCTCCACCTCGCCTTAAGCTATAAGGTCTATACTGATACTGCTCCAAGCCCAGAGCTTCAACCGTAGTTTGAAACATCTTCCTCCATTTGTGTGGTGCATCACACAACTTGGTGCCTGGACTAACCGCCTGTTTCCATTGCCACAAGCGCCGTAGCGTGTCGGCTTCAGTGATAGTCACACTTTCTGCGGCTCCTGTTCGTTGTCCGCCCTTGGTCAATCCCAGGGATATCACTGCAACAGAAGTGGAGCTAGCTTGCGAGACATCCTTGCCTTTAAGTTCAAGAAGCTCCCCAGTTCGAAGGAGCCCATGAAACCCTAGGAGAAGGGAGAGAGCAAAAGTCGCACGGCTGTGAAATAGTGCATGACCGACAAGGGTATGCAGCGCCTCCTCTGTGAGCGGAGGTGCCCGACAGGGGATTTCATGGGAAGCCCAAGTCTTTAACAGGCGCCAACTAATGACGAGATGTCCTTTCAAGTGAGGGTCTCGATCTTGTAGTCCCGCTACCGTGTCAGCGGCTAGGCTCCTCCCCTCTCCCTCAGTCCACATGTATTCAAGGTAGTCGGCAAGGATGTGGTCAATCTCGCAGCGCTGTTGCGGAAGTGTAACTCCATGATTGTTGGTCCAGCTCAGGAACTTTTGGACAGCTTTGTTGTAGCGATCTTTCGTTTTGGGCTGCACTGTCAACCCCTTAAGGGGACCCAGGTTGGCACGTATTGTTTTCCGCTCTGCCTTACTCCTCCCTTCCACATGTTGCTTTACTTTCTTCCCCATTTCCGTTTGATACGCCCCCTTGAAGGGGCATCAGCAGGGTTCAGGGCAGTGTGAACATATGTCCACACTGCCGTGTTTCAGGTGAGGAGGAGTAAGGCATTGATACGTGCTAGGGTTCTTCGCAGTTTCTTGCTGCTGGTGCGGCCCCTAGTGAGGGTATGGAGACACACTAGTGAGTCAGTTAGATGTATGATCCTCTGGTCTCTGACTCGTTGCTTGGTGGTACGATAACGCATGGCACATAGCACGGCCCTTAGTTCCAGCACATTGATGTGCTCCTTATGGCCTCTCCATTTCCATCCGCACACTGTGGACCACTTCCACAAATTTGCAGGAATACTGGCTCTGAGTCTGTGATACTTCAGTGTTTCTTCTGAAGCAGAATTCACCAGTATGTCCTCTCCTTTGATACTGACCAAGTTGAGCAGTTTCTTAACGAGGAGATCGCTACCTCCCTGAATGAGAGCTTTCCTCGGCCCGTTCATCGGCTGTCTGGTAAGGAAAGTGGCAAAATCCGTGTTGGCTCCTGGCGACGTCAGTTCGATGCAGTGCTGGACCGTCAGCTGAGGACTTACTCCCAGCCACGCTCCCAATTGACTGAGGAGCCATGTGATCACAGTGACGTTCCAGGAGTTGCCCAGCAGCGTCAACCTGAGGTCTTGGTGCTCCGTAGAACCTTGCTTGGACTTAGGCAGGCAGTTGACTGTGTAATGCCTGGGAAAGCCAAGAATCACCTCGCGCTCTTCGGCATTGACCAAGCGGTGCACATCCCCTCTCCCGACCTGATGGCAGGTCTGGTATTGGTAAGGAGGGAACCTGAACTTGTCCTCCTCCCACTGTGTTTTTTCTGCCGCCGTCAACATGTCCAGCCCCGCCGGCCTTCTCCCTGGATGCTGTCGTGGCCGTGAGGTGGTAAACGTGGGGAGAGGTTGCTCACCTAGCCTTCTCCAACCTGGCACTAGGTACTTGTCAGATTCCACCTTACCTTCCAGCTTCACCTTTCCCATGGACTCCCATTTGTCATCAGGAGGGATCTCGATGGTCACACCCTCCCCTGTCTGCAACGCCCACGTGATCCAGTACAGCCTTGGTCGCCTGGCCAGGCTGACCCCGCTGGCATCAATCGCCCAGCTTTGGGTTCCAAAGGACTCACTCATAACCATCCGATCCTCGACATCCATTGATTGTACTGACTCAGCAAGGGAGTGCACTTGTGCCCAAGGAAAAGCCACCCGCACAAGATCACGGATTCGGGCCACATGTACGTACAACTTGCTACGGTAGTCCTTAAGCGCTCCCCTACGATCAGCGTTTAATCCGCTGACTCCTTGGCAAGGAGGCCCTGCACCCAAGATCACTAACCCGACCTGGGAAAATTGGCATGCCCATTGTCGCACCATGTCCAAGTCAACACTTTCCACATTTGAGACAAATTGAGTGGCCGGAAACTTGGATTCCAAAACCCTGGAGGCTGAGGCATCCATCTCCACACTAACATGTCCAGCCATTGGCAGACCAGCAGCATCTGCTGCCACTCTGAGAGCCCCGATCCCGTCAAAGAGACCTATAGTGAGTGCTTGGGTCATCTCACCAAGTTCAGGGACGTCTCCCCTCGAGGGGCACAAGGTGGCTATCCGACCCAGATTTGTCAGTCCCCTGCTGACAGTGACACCTCCCCCAGTCGTGGAGGCATCACTTGCAGTCACTTGGGGGTTGGGTAGCGCTCGGAAGTTGATACGTGCCAACGGCAGTAGTGCGATAAACCGACTGATCTCCAGTTCCACCAAGTAGGGGATCTCCAGGCGTATCACCGGTGGGTATTTGTTAAATTCTTCGATAAACGCCCAGATGTGATTCAGGCCACCCATTAGGGCCCTACGGAAAGTGGCAATGTACACGAGGCCCCCAGCCACTACCTGCATCTGTTTTTGACTACACTTCCCTTGGTCTAGCATGAGTAGCGCCAGTTGAGTATACTTTAGGATCTTGTCAGGTTTGGGGTATGCACACCCCTTGTCACCATCCACCATAGCCCCTTGTACCTCGGCCCTCAAGGAACGTTGCACGGCCTTTTTGGGATGCCTAGGAATACCCCAAGCCTCATACTCAGCTCTAAGGGCTAGAATAGAGGGGCTTGGAGAACCTTTCAGGAGCGCTGCCAAACTCCCGTCCATGCGTTCCAACTCATCAAAGTTGTCCAAATATATTCGATGCATCAGATCAGTGTTGGGGAAAGGACGATCCTTCCTCAGCTCTTGGCAATCCAGGAGGCGATTGCTCGTCCTCCCCTTGGCTCTTCTCACCACGGAACGGTGGACTGCCTGTGCCAGACTGACTGAATTCCTGAACCCCATGGGCAAGACTCGAGACACCAAAAAATGGCGCTCGGTCTGCCCCGGATGCAGATGGGTCGGTACAGCCTTGTTGAAACCGAGAAACTTTTGCCATGCAGCGGGAACTTTAAAAATGTAGAAGAAACACCTCACATCTTCTGACCCAATGAGCAACTGTTGAGTGGGCATCAACATTAACGGCCCAGCTGAGGACCATGCTGGCAACGTTGATACGTCTCCTTGGATTGGCCGGCAAATGTTGTTCAGAGGAATCAAATTCATGATTAGCCTATGCAACTCTATCCCTCCTGCTCTGTCTCCCTTGGGCACTCCGAAGAGGCCATTTAGGAGAGGCCTCCCCTTCACATGGAACAACTCGCTCTCCGGGAGAAGGCCACAGATACCCGATGACAGGAGACCTCGACAGACGCCCTCCCATTGGTCATCAGCTACCATGACCCTCGGAGGCTTGGTGTATTCCATGGATTCAGGAGGGACTAGGTAGTCCTCGAAATGTGTGACGTAGTGTCTGCAACCCCCTTCCAATACCGAAGACAGCTCCACCCCTCCTACTTCTGCAGGTATAGCTGGACTAAGGTTGGACCAAGAAGTAGTTTTTGCCACCGACACTTCATCACCAACATAGTCTACACTGCGACTACTAAAAAAGGATTCCCAAGTAGACAAGCTAAACGTCTCTTCCCATGTTGAAACCTCTGCTAAATCTCCGCACAGCCCTTCCAGGAACTCAAGCTGCAAAGGAGTTACTCTGGCCCCTGACTCTAAGTCAACTCCCGCGTAACTATTGAGACCCAAGCAAAGAGACCGCAGCATAACCACATCAACCCTGGCCAGACGTTCCTGCCCCCTTAAAATGTCAGTGCTGGTGGGTAACGGGAATACGTCACCCGTGGGCTTGGCCTCGCTGTGCTTCTTTTTCAATTTTGAAGAAGATTTAATCAGCAGTGACTGAACTAAGGGCAAACAGGAACCCCAGGATAAACCAACAAGTTTCTCAACTCGACCACACTCCCTGACTTCACTCGGATCCTTCATCTTCTTTTTCTCACCACTGCGATCGAAGGTCTGCGGGGCATCGTCCAAGTGACTATCTGCAAAGTCACCTAAGCATCGGTTGGATGACGCCGAGGGACTACCAGCGAACTGGCTGTCCGGAGCTTCGCCACTAGGTGAAACATGAAACTGTGGAAAAACGCCTGCGCCATCTGACCTCTCTCCGGCGCCATGCCCCATAAGACCTATAGGCGGTTTCCACACAGAACCGTGTCCACGCACCCAGGGTCCACATTCAGGGCTGTCAGGAGGGCGATCTTCGCGCACTCCCGTACTGCACCTGGCCCGGTCCTGTCCAAGGACAGTGTCCCGGCCGTGGGCAGTCTTCCCCTGGTTTAAACTAAGGCCACAGGGGGCTCCTCGCACCTCTTCATAGCTTCTTTGTGGCTCTCCTCCCAAACCTAGGAGGGGGCCCTCATATTCGTCTTCAGCCTCAGCTCCCAAATCTAGGAGCTCTTCTTTCCTTCCTCTTTTTCGCTCCTCTTGCCTTTCCCTTTGTCGCGCCCTTTCCGTATCGCCACGGGGCCCCTGCCCCTGAACTCTCGCTCTTTCCCTTTTCTTTTCCTTTTGCTAACGCTCTCGTCTTCTGCTCCTCCTTGTCCTCCTTGGCCGCGGCCTGTGTTTCTGCGCGGCTTGTCAGTTGTCCCCGTTCTGGCGGGACCACTTCGACCCTTTGACTGACTCGCCAACTCCCTCCATTGGCTGTCAGCTGCAAACTCTTCAGCCTCTGCGCCAAGCAGTCGACCGTGTTGGCAACTTCCCCTGAAGCGCCAGGTCTAAGCTCCAGCACAAGGTCAGAGCTTCTCGGCTGGCCCCCCCTGAAAGGAGGGGGGCCAGATGGTTGCGGTAATATTGCAGCGCCACCGCAGGCACCTCCCCTTTCTCCTGGTCCCAAACTGTGCCTGCTGCCGTCAGGAGTTGACTCTGCATCTCCCTGATAGTGCTCTCCGCTAGAACTCCTGGAGCTCGGCGGGCCACCACCCGCACTTTGTGGGTGTCCCCGAAGATCCCCTCGTCCTCGGAGCTGCCCTGGTCGCTGCTCTCCCCGCTCCCATCGATGGAGCTTGAATCGCCGCTGGTGCTCTCCTCCTTCTTCCTCTTCAACTTCTTCTTCAATGCTTTCACCAGTTTCCTCCTCACTTTGTAATTGGGGTCCAGGCCAGTTGACCCGAAGACATCCTTCAGCTCCTTTCGTGAGTTGACCCTCTTTCTGCTCGATCTCACCTTCTTTCGGCTGGATCCTCCGGTGCTTGAGGATCTTTTCTTCTTCTCCTTTTTCTTTTTCTTTGTTTTCTTGTCGTCTCTTTTCTGGTCTGCTCTCTCTTTCTCCTTCGCTTCCTTCTCTTGCAATGCCATTGCTTCTCTCCTCAGCTCTGCATTCTCGTCTCTTCCTTCTCGCAGGTTCTCTGACCAGCCTCCCTCGTCGCTCCTCTGTTTCTGTCGGATTTTTGTGGCGTGTACTAGACCTTCTGCGTCCACCTTGTTGGGGCAAGTTGAGCCGCACAGATGGACCCGCACTGGCACCGTGGGGTGCCCGGTGATCCACTTCAGGAGGGACTCGCTTTCCGTCCCCTCCCCTGTCAGTTGCAACTCTACATCGCCCACGTGGCGCACTTGGAGGCCCTGCACTGTGCCGCAAAGACGACATCCTTCTTGTCGGTACTCCCCAACGACGACGACAGGAGTACCTTGCACCAATCTTCCCAAAGGAGCCAAATTGGCTTCCACCTCTTCTCCGTTCACAAACTTTTCTTCTGCTTCGCCCTTCTGACTCTGCTCACCTGCGCCTCGACTCGCCGGTCTACGCAGAGCTGCTCCCACCCTAGGAGCCCGTCTACCAGCTGGCCCTGCCGCCGCTGGCCTCCTCAATGCCATTAACCTTGAGCTCGGTCCTCTCGCCAAGCCCGCTGCCTCTCTCGCTTCTTTCTGCCTTTGTTGAGCGCCCTCTTACGCTGGGGATCGGCCCTGGGCTCCGCTTCTCCGATCGGACGCCTCACCGTCAAGATAGGACCCTCCCACCTTCTAGGAGGATGCTCTGGTTCTCGGGGTCTGCCTCTGCCCCTGTCTCTATCTTCCAGTCTCGGACTCCTTGCCCTGCTGACGGGCCTCTTGTCAATGAAAGCTTCTCTGCTTCCACGTGCAGACTCTTCTCCTGACCTATTTTTGCTTCTCGGACGTTCTTTCCTTTCTTTTCTTCCTGGGCTTTCTCCTCTCTCTGTCTTACTATCTCGGGCTTTACTCCTCTTTCCCTCAGCTTTCTCCTTCTTCTTTTCTTTCTTGGGCTTTTGACGCGATCTGGATCTCTCAGCCTCCTCTCTAGCTCCCCGGGCGCTCGAGGAAGGTGCCTCAGCAACCTCGGCTGGGGCGCTTGGTGCGCTCGCCGCCGCCTCCCTCTTCACCGCAATGCCCTCCGTACGAGGAGGAGGTGGGGGAGGCACTGGTAACCCTCCCGTAGTAGGAGGGCCCACAGGAGCACAAAGCCTGTCCCTGGCCCGCTGTTGAGCTTGCTCTTCTTGGAGCAGGGAAGTCCACTGCCTGGCCTGGCTGACCCCCCAGGATCGCAGTACAGGCTGAAGTGCTCTGAACTCCCCCACCAGCCGGGAGACACACCGGCACAAAGCGCAGACTCCGTCCACTCCAGGAAAGGGGCAGTTGCACAATCTGCAACCACTCATGAGCTGAAGCCGAAACTACCGAAAAAAGGGGATGATCAACCTATTCGTCTTTACTTCCGGGGTCGTTCATTCATATACAAAATGGGTGCACTTCTGCTAGGTATATCTCAAATACTTTACATGCACACAGGAAAGTCAAGCATCAGTACACTGTGCACCCATTAGATTGGGTGAGAAAGTCCCAATTTGGGGTTGGTCTGCAAGGATCCCTGAGTACTTTAATTGAAAAGGCCAGACTCGCCCATTTCTCAGTTTCCTGCTTGGTTTCACCTTTGTTAGGGCACTTCAAAACATAAATGTTCGACTCGTTGAACATTGGAACGGTATAATTTCAATCTGACCTCAATAATAATATTGAAATAGTGCAGACTGAACGCTGCCAGTGATACCTTGTGCTCCTCTCAGCCGGCTGACTTCTCACCAAGGATCACATGCCAGGGTGCAAGGACACTGTGCTCCACCAAGGGTTTCAAAACTTCAGGTTCATGGAAAAGATCGGAAACACCACCCAGCTGATAAAGCGCAGCTGCTGGCACCCAGATGCCTGGGCCGCATTCGTGCGCCGTCTTTCAGGGGAAGTTGCCACCAGAAGATCCCACTGGATTCACGGCATTGCCCCACACCCCCTTACAACGCCTGTTCCAAATCCTCAAAACTCCACCTGCCTACCACAACCCCCACAAGAGGATCATTAGATCCGCTAGCATCACGTTGCAAAAAGGATTGCACACATCAAACCATCCCCAATCTACATGATCTAAAAATTGATGACTTCCGCAAACCCATTGATTTTCCAAGCTATGCGTTTTCTGAGGACCCGCATAAACAATGACCCAAGCCACCCACAATGAGCAAACCAATGCCATTGAGGCAGTCGGAAACTGCCACGGCCTGCGTTGTTGGTTGACCATTCTCTAAAGCTGCACCCTTCGAATATAATGGCCCAAAAAACCTCTGATCAAAGGAAGTTTTTTAGAAGTCTATACTTCCAAGTTACGGCGTTTCACAGCAAAAAAACTCACAGTCTCACAGCAAACAAGTCTCACCGCACAGAAACCTCACAGCAAAGAAGTCTCACAGCAACGAAGTCTCACAGCAAAGAAACCTCACAGCAAAGAAGTCACACAGCAAAGAAATCTCACAGCAAAGAAGTCACGCAGCAAAGAAGTTTCACAGCAAAGAAACCTCACAGCAAGGAAGTCTCACAGCAAAGAAGTCTCACAGCAAAGAAGCCCCGCAGCAAAGAAGTTTCACAGCAAAGAAATCTTACAGCAAAGAAGTCTCACAGCAAAGAAGCCTCACAGCAAAGAAGTCTCACAGCAAAGAAGTTTCACAGCAAAGAAGTGTCACAGCAAAGAAGTTTCACAGCAAAGAAGTCTCACAGCAAAGAAGTTTCACAGCAAAGAAGTCTCACAGCAAAGAAGTCTCACAGCAAAGAAGCCTCACAGCAAAGACGCCTCACAGCCAAGAAGTGTCACAGCAAGTCTCGCCCGAAAGCTTCGTTTTCACATTCTTCAACTTTCTCTTTTTAAGTGACGTCTCGCACGAAAGCTTCGTTTTCACATTCTTCAACTTTCTCTTTTTAAGTGACGTCTCGCACGAAAGCTTGGTTTTCACATCTTCAGCTTTCAGTTTTTGAGGGACGTCCTGCATGAAAGCTTCGGTTTCACATCTTCGCTTTTTGAGGGGCGTCTTGCACGAAAGCTTCGTTTTCACATCTTAATTTCTTAAAGTTTTGACTTTTTGAGGGATGCCTCGCGCGAAAGCTTAGCTTTCACAGGGACATCTGGCACCAAAGCTTCGTTTTCACATCCTCAACTTTCACTTTTTGAGGGACGTCTCGCACGAATGCGTCGCTTTCATATCTTCAGCTTTCACTTTTTGAGGGACATCTAGCACGAAAGCTTCGTTTTCACATCTTCAGCTTGCAGTTTTTGAGGGACGTCTCGCACGAAAGCTTCGTTTTCACATCTTCAACTTTCATTTGTGGGGACGTCGTCTCGCACGAAAGCTTCGTTTCGTTTTCATATCTTCAACTTTCAGTATTTTGAGGGAAGGCTCGCAGGAAATGCGTGCTTGTTGTGCAAGGAGATTTGCGGATGTTTATCGTTTTTGGCGCCTTTAATTTTCCTTTTAAACGCTGTTTTAAAAAGCTTCAAAATCATACTTTTTTTTGGCTTTGGCGCCGAGATCCAGTTCTGGAGCAGGCTTTGGCCAGGAGAAGCTTCTGTCTTGCCGACGTTGCTTTGGAGTGGCTGCGTCACAGTTGCTCTGCGTTGCCTTTGCGCATGTACTTCTATGGTTTTTTGCAGCTCGCTGCTTGCTAACTCGTATTGGAATGGCTGCATCAATGTTGCTCTGCGTTTCTGTTGCGCACGTAGTTCCATGGTCTTTTGCAACTCGCCGCTTGCTAACTCGTATTGGAATGGCTGCATCAATGTTGCTCTGCGTTTCTGTTGCGCACGTAGTTCCATGGTCTTTTGCAACTCGCCGCTTGCAAACGCGTTGTGGTGTCTGCGTCACTGTTGCTCAATGTTGCTGTTGCGCATGTAGTTCCATGATGTTCCATGGTCTTTTGCAACTTGCTGCTTGCAAATCGCATTGGAATGGTTCCGCCAAAGTTGCGTCGATTTGTTTTTGATGACTTTTCTCGTTTTTGGCGCTTTCCATGTTCCTTTTAAATTTGCTTTTAAGAAGCTTCAAAATCGTACTTTTTGAATCTTCTTGTGGATTTGGCGCCGTGATTCGATTTTGGAGCAGGTTTTGGGCCAGATAAGAGCTGAGATGATCTGAGAGTGAGCTGAGAAGAGCTGAGATGAGGTGAGAAGAGCTGAGATCAGCTGAGAAGATGTGAGAAGAGATGGGAAAGGCTTAGAAGATGTGAGAAGAGGAGAGAAGAGATGAGAAGACATGAGATGAGCTGACATGAGCTGCGAAGAGCTGAGAAAGTTGTGAGAAGAGCCGAGATGAGATGAGACGGGATGAGACGGGATGAGTTGAGACGACCGGACATGAGAAGAGCGGTGAAGAGCTGAGAAAAGGAGAGAAGACATGAGATGAGATGAGATGAGATGAGGTGAGATGAGATGACATAGGCTGCGGCGACAATGGGATGGAATGCGTAATTTCCAAGAGAAGCTGCGATGCAATGAGACCAGATGAAATGAGAAAAGATCCAACCTTCAAAAGAGATGGCACCGGAATGCGACGTCAAGCCTGCCAGCAACCTATAGGCACAGTCTTTGTTCCGCTCTATAGGCTATAGGCGTTTCCATTTTGAAACTTCCGCCCCCGGCTTGCCTGGGTACTACTTGTACGTATTATGTATGCATACATACAATTATATACAAGATCATAGTGGTTATTCTGTGTATGTTTGCGTATCTCTTGAGGGTTGATGGTAGCAAGAATACACTCAATAAGGCCCTATTTGTTTGGAGGGGACTTTTCGAGGGGTCTTATATTCCCGTGACATAGAGGGCATGCTGGAGCCAACTCAATGTTGGTTTTCAGAAGACATTATCTCCTCCAGGAGTTTTATCCGTGGAGTTTCTTAACTGGGTATTTGGGGTTGTAACTGGAGTGTTGTCTAACAATATTTGAGGATTTTTGCAAGTTCGTTCATTGACACCTGACCCTTGACGGTAACAGAAACACATGAAGCATGCTGGTATCACGATGGGTTTAAAGATCCAAGCAGCTAAAACAGGCAACTATAATATAAATGTGAAGCAACAAATGTTGAACTGTCGGGCCTGGCAATGAATCACATTTACAGCTTATATTTGACTCTTCTGGACGTCAAACGTCTCTTAAGCGTAAGTACTGTAAACCTAAATCGACAAAAATAATGCACAAGCCGCCCTTTGAAAAGTTGCAATATCTTGCAATCTTCTCCCTTTGGAAGGATCACAACTTTTGAGACCTGCTGTTTCGAGTATTTTGCACCAAGCGGCCTGGAGTTCAAAGCATCCCTTTGGAGCAAACCTAAAAACCAGCAACAAACTTGACAAAATAATGGATATTTGCGCGAGTTTACCCTCGTCCCCTAATCCTTGCAAGGCATCTTGAAACTTGGATAATTTGCTGAACTTGCTTATCAGCATGCTCAAGATCTGTAGGTCCAAAACCTGTTGTGGTCTTCGGCATCACCCACACCCACCACACCTTCAATCCACCAAAGAGGGCATAACAGGCTCCAAATGTGCCAATGATTGCGCTGATGCTCCAAAGGGGCAGCGATTGGAGGTCAAAGATATTTCCTGGCTGAGCTGAACCCCTTGAAATATCTGGGCGGCTGTGTCTGAGAGCTCTGAGAAAAGGCGACCCCGGGTACCCCTGAATCCAATCCTATTCCAATCCTTCATGAGGTGTGCTGTTAAAACATGTTAAAACTGCAATTTTGGATAATTTTGGAGGATACAGTTTCAGATAGGAGATGGGGTGAAGGAGAACATGACATATTACAAATGGCTGGTCGGTGTTTACGGTTGAGATTCATCTAAGAGGTACGATGTGCAGCCTATGTTGCACAACTTCTCTTAATAATGCGCTCTTGGGCCATACTTATGCGATCCCTATTTTTACTCACACGGAACAGGAGGCTCATGGGACCCGTACAGTACATTGCCTTCCACAAGCTTATGCAAGACACAGTTTTGCTTGCGCCGAATGTATATGGGACAACTTTGAGAAGCACATGACAAAAGTCTTGGACACCATTGCAGCTGATTACCATCCGGCACACAAAATATAGCTGTAGATGATCCAGTGCCAAGGGTCGAATGGCCAAAGCCCCCGTGTACCTGATTGTTTCTTGGGCAACATGCTCCCATGGACTTTGTTATTTGCAGCTGGGGGGGTGGATGAGTATCCCTTTTCATGACATCTGATACCATGTGAGTACTGAGTTGGGAAACCTGAAGATCGGATTGACCACTCCACATGATTTCCATGATTTCCACATGACATCAATGTCAAAGGCTGTGGGCCACAGCAAGCTTTGTGAGGCTTCTGTGTACAGCTGTCTCCCGGGCTCATAGATTTCATAGTGACTTGGCAGACAGAACAGAATATCTTTGAGTATCAAACACACCCGCAAAAAAAAGCGTCCAGTAACTTCCAAACAAACCAACTCGGTCCTGGTCGAGTGACTTATGTACTCTTAGCTAGTGTGCGTGGAAAAACATGTCTTTGCAATTGCAACCATAGAAACATCCACAGTTTTCGATGTTTTGCGGGTACATATTCATCTGAACCATCTTTGCAGACCGGCTACAGTGCAATAGGGCAAAGCACAAAGACATAGTAGAGCAGGAAAAGAACAGATCCCATGGTTCGGGTAAAAAGATCAAATCGCTCACCTGAAATCGCCAGGATACCACGGAGGGGATTTAAGGCATTTGACATCATTTGATCCTCCGTTTTTGCGTCTTCCCATCCGTCCCATCTCGTGTCTCAATAAACTGTGCTTGGTGGCGGCAGTGGGTTGCGGTGATCCATCCCACGTGGGTCCATAAAATGAAGGGTACTGCACAGTATTCAAAGAGAAAAGGGCCTTCAAAATCTTCAAATAAAGAAACCATGGAATATAAGGGAAACGGAATATGAATAATATGAAATAAAATATAGATACGATCAATGACGTTTAAAGCAGAATTGTCGGAACCATGATGATGCTATATTTTTTTGATAAAGCACCAAAGAATCTTGCTAGAAACCACGACAAGCTGGTCATTCCTCTGAGTTTTTATTCTACAGTATCTGTCCACACCCGAGTCTGAGTAGGTTTGCCCCCAAGCCCAGCCTAAGAAACCAGAAGTGGTGGTCAAACCTTGACACTGGCGGTGCGAAGGGAAGCCGTGGGTCGTTGAGAAAAAACACCTTCGACAGAACTTCGACAACTTCGTGTTTTCAATTGTATGATAATGTAACAAATAATGTATGATATTTTTAGTGTCACATCGTGGATACGATAAGTCACTGCCCCAAAGCGGCCTGTGGATTTCACTACACATCCCACTGTGCACTATCAGAGTATCATGGATGGGGCGGATAGGGTGTGGAGCGGATTGCCTTTTTACAACAAACACGCAAGTTCTTGGAAGTTGTCAGCGTGACAACCCTTGGAGTTATATCTGAAACAGGCTTTCAAAGTCCTTCCTTTATCCTTGAGGCAGCACCATCAGAACGGTCTCAGTTTAGTTGTGTTCGAACTGTCATTCCTATGTGGGTTCTAGAAAATGCTGTGTTTCATCTGTGGGAAATGTCAGCCTGTTTCAACACATTGCGATCGAACAAGCACCGGTCGAAAATACATTCCAGCAAAGTAAATAAAGACATGTTAGTTAATGTTGGTTAGTTCATATTGTTTCATATTGTTTCATATTGGTGTATAGGGTCGGCCAATCTCAAAACATGCAAATCATATATCAAATCGCTACAGAAGCTCCGGCTTTTCACGTGCTGCTCCATGCCGCCCATGCCCACTTCACCAAGGCACCCAAGGACATGTAGCGCGGCAAAAACACGGTGGCTGTGATGATCATTGCGATTGCAGCTCCCGCTTCCAGCCAGATGCCCGCGAGATTTTGATCCTTATAAACCTCAGCAAAATGGTGACCATCAGGGAACATGCCCAGGTCGGGATAATACTGAAATTCATAGTATAATGGAGCATAATGGAGCCATAGGGATTTGTTCAGAGTTCAAATGAAGCCTGATACCTGTACCATCCTGTACCAACAATATTGGTGAGTCTCAAAGCCTGATACCTAGCCAACACAAGCTCAAATAGGCTTATACACGCATCAACTAACAGGGTCTTTGGGTTGATTCATGAATGATTCATGATATACTATGTGTACATAAAAGCATTCCTATGCATTTCTATTCACCTGTACTTTAACCTTTACTATCTTTGGTTGTATCACCGTATAATATTGTAATAATATATTATAATATCCTCATCATTCCATCAGCTACGGCTACCAGATCCGGCCAGGTCACAGAGCCATTAAGTCCGACGAGCTGTTCAGTCGAGAGATTGGTCAACCTGAATCGAGGAACCAACGGCATGTATATAATATATAATATATATATATATATGTATTATATATATATGCATGTATATGTATATATATGTATATATATATATATCTTTGTTTTTACCCAATTGATGCGCAACGCACCAAGCCCATTCCCATTGTTTATCACAGTTTGCTCTTGTCGCTGGTGTCCACCCACCAACACATCTGCTCTGAAGCAAAAATGATGTTCTGCCTGCAAACAGCGGTTCCATCCTGCTTGTGGAATCATCGTTCCAATGCGCTTGACTATTACCAAGTCTGATGATCATGACAGCAAGAATTGTATTCAACGCACAAATCAAACATCACATATTTGTTATCTTAACAGTTCTTAACAACAGCATATCATGACTCAAACTGACCCAAAAAACCGTCAGTTGAGTCTGGGAAAATCCATGGAAACTAGTTCGCTCGTCCCGGTGACATCAGCGAGCCAGCCACCACGTACCACCGCAAGGACCGGCCACCGGCAAAGAAGTCGTCCGCCGCACCGCCTCCGAAGAAATAGCTGATCCGTCCCATCTCTGGGATAAACTGGGGCATTAGCAAACACAAAGTGACACAAATCAAGAAAATATATGAAAATATGGATCAAAAATTGATCAAAATGGGCATGCGACCAGAAATCAGAGTCCCAAGCAACGAAAGTTTACACGCGTAGGGACAATGGACAAGAACCATTACAGTAAGAAGTGAGGATATTGACCAACAATGATGGGAATGGCAAACTAAGTTCGAAGTGGACAATCAATGGTGCTGCTTCACACGGATGGCTAGGACAGCTGATCCTTGCGGATGGCAGTTGGCATGGATGGTTTATATTGGCTGGGTCGCAAATATTTGGTTTTACTATATGCTTTACTGTAAGGATCAAACATTCACAAATCTGTAACCTATAGGAAACGATACTTTTTTACCATTGGTTTTTACCCACTGTACTTTGGTTTTTACCCCAAAATATCCGCGAAAATTTCCTAAAGATGGCCCTGGTCACCTGTGGACGAGGTCATGCGACTGCAAATGAACCAGGTGGCCACTCCAACTAGGCCAGTGGTAGCGATGAAGGTACACCTCTGGTGGCCATTGGTGCTTGGAATATCTTGGAATGGTGGCATTTTTGGGGTGGGAAAGTTGCTGAGTGCTGATGGACTGAGTTTTCTCCGGTGTCATACTGTTTCTGCCTGGTTAAACACTATTTAGGTCCTTTAGGTGTTGGAATGTGTGTTGAACTTTGGAGACTTGGCGTGATTTGATGCCTCTTTTTTCCGGCTTTAGATTTCAGCCGCGTTTCGGGTCCGGACCCACAAATGGGCCATGGATGTTTTAGCAGACTGCAAACCCCATGGATCAACCGAGCTGGAGAAATATCACTATGCTTACTTGAAACTCCATGGGAAGTTGTGTTTTCATATTCTGCCAATATGGTCAATAATTCAGGTCCTAAAAGACGTGGTGAATTTTGGATGTCTACAGTACCCCGGATCACCGGGAAGGTTCCAATCCTGCCTAATAAAGAGTTGGCAAAAAAATGCAACCTGCAAGTGAACTTCGGAAAGGGATGTGTTTTCATATTTACAGCTTGTACAATCTTGTACATATGGGTCACGTTTATGTGTATATATTGTAATATGTGATAAATTCACCAAACCAGGGGGTGGGACTTGTACCATTTCACCATCTTCACCAGGGCTGCTGAGTGGCACGTGTAGCGCCAGCTGTTCTGCACCTGGGACCACAGCCCAAGCCTCTTTTTCATCCATGCTCTCCATCGCGCGGAGCTGTTCACACCGCTGCGAGGTCCGGATCCGGTGCTGTTTGACCGGAAGCAAAAGCAAGTTTCAGCCAGAGTGGCCTGCGATTTCAGAGTGTTCTCAACATAGGTTGATTAGCTGTGGTAAATAGGTTGAATTAATCGATCACTGGATTTGGGGGCAACTGGCAACTTTGCTTCACATGAAGTACCTGGATGCACTCGCGTGCACCACCAGCTGCAGATTCTTTCGCCCTTTTCCTCCTAATTCATGTTCAAGTCGCACTATCTTGACATGGAACCATGGTTTCCCGTTCGAAGAGTACTCAAGCTATGTCTATATATATAATTTATACATACATTAATTACATCACATCACATCACATCACATCACACTGCGTTGCATTACATTACATTACATTACATTACATTACATTTTCATGTATGACATTATACAGTACATGATCCATTATATACTATAAAATACTATAAGTATCTATAAATCAGTTCAAGTATATGCTGCAGGAGGCAGAGTTATGTGGGAAATGATTGGGGATTGCCGTTATTTCTTTGGGTTTGCCATGTTCATCCCATCCACCCAATATCAAACAAGCAATAAGTGACCTCAAAATCATTAGATTCAATGGTGAATCTATGGTGAATCTATGTGAATTTCCTGAAAATATTGATATTTGATTCATTACGGAAAGGGATAAAGTATCATTTTCTGGTCATTTTCTGGAATTCTCCAAGCTTCAGTGAACCACTTAAATAGGTGACTATCCAGCATCTAGCCCCAGGGCTGAGGCATCGGCGTGGTCACCATAGATTGAGCCTGTGGCAAGCCTCCGTAGGCCCCAAAGCTCACCGGAGCGCCTCGGAAGAATTTTTTAAGGCATCCCAGCAAGAGATTTCCCTTCTGCAGGGGGGTATGTGTAGCAAGATATATACTTATATACTTGATATATGTATATGTTTTTAATCTATCTACATATTTATTTATTTGATATGTTATTTTATTCTGACTTATTTGCTTATTTTCTTATTTATCTATGTATTTTGTTTACACAAATGATAAGTTCATATACAATCATGTGCCAACATCTTTGCACCCACAAGACCCTATCCGAAAAAAAAAAAACACGCCTCCATAAGCCGCAGGCATCCTGTGTGCAGAGGATCTTTGGGTCCCAACTCGGGAAAAGTGGATGGGTCAAAAGTATATGTTGCCATATTTTGAGGAATGAACATCCATGAATATCAGCAAACTTGTGGTGTGAAAACCAAGGTACGGTTTCAGGCTCTCAGTGAAGATGGCAAAACAGCTATTTGGCTATTCTGCATAACTAGCATTGACACAGTTTGTAACATTTTGTAACCATAGATGTGTGATCACTTCAAGCAAGCGACATGTGTGAGCTCGCATAGCAAAAGATTGGTCTTTGTTGGGTAAACCTGTACTACAGTCACTGCATGAGTCACAACCCTGTTCCACGCGTGAACCTACAAAAATGATGTCAGCAAAAAGATACTTGTTTGGCGAACACCGCCTCAAACAGGTGTACAACCAGGTTGACCAATTTTTGTAGGGCTTGATATTCATGCTCCTTGGGGTTGCTTGGAGATTCCTTCTTTGGCTGGCAAGACACTGGTGGGATAGCCAGAATGGACAAGAATGAATACAAGATGCTACAATAACACTTGATGGGAGGAATTCATAGGAATTCACCATCCTGCGCTCCACTCTAGGGACAAGCCCACAACTCCAAATTAAAATCCGGATGGAGTCAAGCCGAATCTCCATCTCCTCTTACATCAAGCATGCATTTTCCAGGTCTTCAAATAGACTAAAATCCCTAGGGTCCCTAGTTTTTAAGCATTCTCGACACCAACAGACTAAGCGTGGTGATTTTCCAGGCGCCCCGGCCCATAGCCAGCAGGTGGGGCTGCCATGTTCATCGGGGCACTAGAGACCTCCCGAACTCGTTGATGTCGATGTCGCGAACCGAAAATCATGGTGGTTTTTGAGCAATGGAAAATTCATCATTTACCAGATGATATGGAGGAATTTTGCTAAACACCATGATTTATAGCTGGAAAATCATGGTAGCTGTTTGGTCATCAAAAAAGTTTACCATGGTATTGGATAACTTTCCCAGCTACAAACCTCCATTTCCCGGCTATAAACCTTCATTTTTTATGGGACTTCCCAGCTTGCCATGTGAAAAATCCCTGCATGATGACTTGGATGATGCTTGGGTTTGTCTGAAATAGGGGACACCTACTTCCAATGGTTAATCATTGTCCCTATAAAAAGAACCATTTTGAGGTATCCCCCATTTTCAGACACACCCATATCAAGATGTAAAGATGCATGGATACTGCCATGAGTTGCTTGATGTTTCTTGATGATGCTTGGGTACTGCTCTCCACTTCAATAGAAAGCCATGTTCATGTCTGGTAATCAAATGATTGACATAAAGCTGCACGTTATCATAGACTTATCCCAGCATCCGGGCACTTGAGTGAGAGATAGATAGCTTTATTACATCTTATTACCATATCATGCATTAAAAGGCATGAAAAAGCAATATGTAATTAAGAAGATGCGCTGCCAATCCATGGTATTGATAGTTGCCTCGGTCGTTACAACTTTGTTCCACGATAGTCTTGGAGCGGTAGAATAACGTGAAATCCGTCAATCCAGGGATACACGTACCAGCATATTTGGATACTCCACGTGCACTTTTCAGTCACAGATACATATATATTATATATCATAATATGTATACATATGTATATATATAATGATATATAATGATATATAATGATATATAATGATATATTATGATATATAATGATATATAATGATATATAATGATATATAATGATATATATATATATATATACACATATATATATATATATATAATGATAATGATATATATATGCATATATATGTATATCATAATGTATATACATTATATCATGATATGTATATATATATCATTATATGTATATTACATTATATATATATGTACATATATATATATATCATTATATATCATTATATATCATTATATATCATTATATATCATTATATATCATTATATATCATTATATATCATTATATATCATTATATATATCATTATATATATCATTATATATATCATTCTATATATCATTATATATATCATTATATATATCATTATATATATCATTATATATATCATTATATAAATTATATATATATATCATTATATATATATATCATTATATATATATATCATTATATATATATCATTATATAAATTATATATATATATATCATTATATATATATATACATATATCATTATATATATATATATGCGTGTGTGAACAATTCAAATAAAGGAAAGGATCTCAACCACCAACAGTCCATGATTCCGATCTTCACCACCCTTCGCCTGCTGATACTCTGCGGGAGGGATTCCGAAGTGTTGGGTGCGGCTTCCATCTGGGTTCTGAATGAAGAAGTAATGCGGCTGTTGCTGGGGTGCAGCCTCGGCTGTTGGAACACCAAGGAGCCTTGGCCGTCTGGTTTTCAGCTGCTGACCATACCATCTTGCTACATGGAGCGGATAGGAAATCGGTTGATCAGCAGTCTTGGGCATTGCTTGTGCACGCTCAAATTTCTCTCAGGAATGAACACATCACAGGAGCAAATAACAAATTTCATTACCCTACATCTCCAGTAGTCTAACGTGATGAAAGGTCTGTGTTAAACAAGGGAATGACAAATGATCAAATGATCTACTCCATCTATATACGTGCCTGATAATTGTCCCAGCATTTCCCTCTGCCAGCTATCGTGGCTTGCAAGGGGAGCCAGGAATGTGGTTCACTGGAACTGGGAAGCCAAGCAGTGCGGGTACGGGTCAAGACCGAGGCACCCTTGTGAACATCATGAAAAAGAATAGCATATGGGTTTGTCCAGAAAGGGGATATACGAAAACGGCCATTCAAATATTATGTATTACATATGATATGCATACATATATATATATTATATTCATTCTACATAATACATTCTAATCCATTATATTCTAAGAGGAGATGGTGATGAGTATCCTATATTGGGACAAACTAATACAAGCTATTGGGATATTGAGACTACTTGCTGTTGACGCTTGACCTACTGGAAGGGCTGTTCGAGGCATATTGTGAAAATTCCCCGCCACCTCCAAATTATCAAATTCAGCTGAGAAGCCATGGCAGCAGTGAAAACAGTCGATGTCGCTTCGACTCTTCTACTTGTGCAAGTAATGCTTCTGAACCAAAGTCAGCGCACGGAATTTATGATTTTTCATGCATGCGGCCTCAAACCATGGCAACTAGGCATTAGGGAAGACCTACTGCACCAAAATCCGGTCTGTTCCTGACTTGCCAACCCCAGTCACTCAAATTAGACCATCAGATTGAGGATGACTTGCGTCCAAACATGTTGTGTGCGGGCCACACATTACAAGTACAAGGAGGTTTCTTTTCCACTTCATGTCTGATTGCCAATGAGTCTATTGGGTGCAAAAAGTCTTCAACGAGATAGGTTCAATTGTTACCAAAACATACCAAAACAATATTCATGGATGTCAAGATTGTCCGGTATATCATAGACAGAATCTGTATGCCTTTGATCACCTTGACCCACTCTTTCAATATAAATATAATCAAACAAAGATAATAAAGTACATGAATATTGCATCACATATACACAAAGGGCTACCAAAACATCTACCATATTAAGCCCCTCCAGGTGTTTGATCGGCACCTGAGGCACTTCAACAAGACCTCCGCTGGCAACTCGTGAACCTGAGTGCGAGGTCCGGTGACTTCACAACTCGTTTTGCAGCCGTGTAGTTTCAAAACATAACTCGTAATACTTCGTACATCTTCGTACCATACATAAGGATATATTAAAGGCATGTAAACACCTGTGAATGATCGAAACTGTTGGTCCATAGATCCATTATGATCCATATAGATCCCAATGTTTGCCCCACTACAATTTGTAAGGTGACAATGAGTGACATGTCTCGTGCCATCAACTTCATTCAAATCAGAACAAATCTGAAACTTGTACGGTGTTGTCTGAAAACAGGGTACACCATTCCATCCACTGGTGAATCATCAGTATCCCTATTGTTTGATGTCCATTCCGGTCACATCTTCATGGAAGTTATAGTACCATTCAGGAGTAGGACCTGGACCACACCAACCCCAATTTCTCGATTGACCCGACATACTTATTGATTCGTTGACGCCATTAACTGTATACCAGTATTTTCCGGATCTATGATAGTTAGATATATTATATAGATATATTACTGTATATATGATTGAAGAAAAAACATTAGAGAATGCACCTGACACCCCATGGCCCATGGTTTTGATAGATAAAAAATGGACATCAACATGGGCATCAGATGGCATCAGAGTGCTTGAAGCATCGCCACCAATCCCATCCCCAATGCCGATCAGCCCGGCCTGTCTTTGCAAACATCCTGCTGCAGCCACGAAGACGGCAGGGTGCCATGGCCTTAATCGTGGGCAAAAAACCCTGGGATCATCATTCCAAGTGTGGCCATAAACTTTATAAACCCATCAAAATGGTGATTAAGGGAATATAAGCAGCAAAAAAATGCTGGGGGTTTCACGTTTGAAACCGCCAACTAATGACAAAACCAAGGAACGCTTCCAAAGCGGGATCTGGCAAGCGATGGTGGCGGCTACCTCGGTGCGAGACCCGAGACCACGTGAAACCCGGAATCTCAAAATGTGGTGAAATGCCTGGAAAAGGCAAGGAAATGTGAAATTACGGCAAGATATGGCAAGCTTGGGGTACACTATGGTAACTTGTTCATCTTGTTCTTTATGTGTTTTTCCTTCTCAAATTCTGTTTGGGACATCATGAATCTTGAGAAGCATGGACAGCAGTTGTACCTTTGTCATTAACCCCGGTATCTCCTGGGTGGTCCGGTTGCATGTCATGATATCATATGTTTCAAAAGCAGTTGGGAAGCAAAACTTCCGAGTTACGGACGACTGGAATAGCAATAACAATACGTGCGCAACAATGCAATTGATTTTGGGAAGTGGTGACTCAGGGAAGTGGTGACTTAGGGAAGCGGTGACTTTGGGAAGTGGTGACTTAGGGTACCTGGGCAAACCGGGATCAATCAATCACCATTGCAGGGAAGGGATGACTTAGGGAAGTGGTGATTCAGGCACCACTCCACGTGCAGTTTCAATTGGCATTGTAATGGCTGCATGAATGTCGCATGGGGCTTGTGTTGGGGAGGATGCCGGAGCGCGAAACATTGTGTTTTTCCGCGTAAAGTGGCTGCAGCCGGCAATAAAGGGGAGCTCGTGTGTGCAGCGGGTGCGGCTACACTCGTTTTGAAGTGATTGGTTCCTACAGGGTGTTTTTGCAACGTGCGGTGTTTGATGTGTGCGCAGTTGCAGGGTCTTTTGCAATCTGCGGTGGCAGATTGCAATGCAATGGCTGCATGCATGTTGCCACCACTGCTGCCATGTGCGTAGATACATGCGGGCTTGCCATCGTGCGGTGCAGATCGCATTGCAATGGATGCATCAAGGTTCCTCGCTGCTGCGGCTGTGCGCGTCATACTATTGTCTTTTGCAGCTGGGCATTGGGCATCGTAAATCGTATTGGAGTGGCTGCATCCAGGTTGCGATACTGATTTGTCAGAAGATTTTCTCAATTTTGGCGCTTGTGATTTTTCTTTTTGAATTCCTTCCAAAAAGTGCTTCAAAATCTGTTTTTCGCCTTGGCACCGAGATCCGGTTTTGGAGCTACAATTTCTGCTGCCGTTGCTCTTAGTTCTATGGTGCTATTCGCTATACTGACTTGTTTCAATCAATGTAATGTAGTGTTTATGATATTGGATAGGTAGTGTGTAAGGTATGAGTATATGAATGAAAGATTACGAGTCCCATGAGTGAGAATGTACGTGACAGTGCAAGTAGAATAAAAGCTTCTCTCCAGCAGTAAGAGCCTTATGACGCACAGAAGAGCTGAGACGAGTCACGAAGAGCTTCGATGAGATGAGAGTGTTCGGATGAGATGCAAAGAGTGAAGAAAACTGAGATGACATGTTAGATGAGATGAGATGAGATGAGATGAAGTGTGGAGTGTGCAGTTGGGAGCACAAAGTGTCGCTTGGCGATGCGCAGGTCATGTTCTTGGATTCGCACAAAGATTCGCACAAAGCACGCACGCACCCGCCTCGCTGGCGCAGGGCGCCTGCAAATTCTGACGAAAAAGGTCTTAGTTCGTATAGCCCATAAGGCAACTTCCGCCCCGTGCGGGTACTACTGGTACGGTAATATATATAATTTTATATATCGTACTTCCATTCATGATATACATGCTCAATATTCGTCTATACCAATCTTGCTGTACACGCATTCAGTCTTCACAGGATCTTTTTTTTGCAGTGCCCAAGTCTCATCCCCCTCCCCCTGCTGGGTTTGTGGAGATGCCCAGAATGGATTAGAATGGCTCCTCTAAACAATGGAGTATCCTCGGTTGTAGCCATCAACCTTCAACAGAGGGTTTTCATGGCACTGCGCAACTGTTCCGGTCCAGCAACAGCAAAAGACTGCAATGGCCAGGAGGGAATCTGCCAGTTCTGCTGGTGCAGAATCAAACCTCAGTGATGCTTGGATTTTTCTCATTCAACGCTGTTTAATTTTAAGTAGGCCTCTAAATCTAGATTGTGTTTTTATCCCATTTTATGTAACGTTCCCCCATTTTATATCGCTGCATCAATTCAACTATAGTTCTATTTATATGAAACGTTGCCCCATTATGCATGGCCACTTGAATCATCCACCCCTTTCCTCGGAGCCAAAAGGCATTCTCTCCAGCACGTGTTCCCCGAGGAGTTTGAACACTGCAAGCTGCACCGCCTGTTCCGGTTTGCTTTCTCGAATTTATGTACCCCAAACCCAAATCCCCGATCCAACGAGAAATTGTTACTCTGCTATTCATGGGAAAACCCTGTAGATTAAAAGTTGCAAGAGCTACTGCCGGCCCTTTTCAACAGGGTGCCAAGCCAGGAAAAAGGTCTAGCCATCGGAAATGACCTTCATCCCTTTCCCAAAAATCAGATGTTAGCTGTTAGGCACTGGTCAAATATTTTGATACGGCTGCCTTTCTTAGCCACGTAATTTTTCCAGGATCCTCTAGCCACGTATTTCCCTTTTTTTAGCCACGAAAAAAAAACTAGCTGCGTACGAGCGTTAGCCACGTAATTACTTTTTTTTAGCCACGAAAAAAAAAACTAGCTGCGTACGAGCGTTACCCACGTAATTTTTTTTTCCCCTTTTTTTCCTTTTTTTATTCCCTTTTTTTTTTCCTCTTTTTTGTTCCTGTTTTTTTTGTTTCTCTCTTTTTCCTCTCTCTTTCCCTCTCTTTTTTTCCTTTTTTTTCCCCTTTTTTTCTGTTTTTTTTTTCCTTTTTTTTTTCCTCTTTCTGTTTTTTTTTCCCTTTTTTTTTCCTCTTTTTGTCCTTTCTTATTTTCCTATAATTATTTTGTTCCTTTCGCGTTTTCTTTTTTTTCCTTTTTTTGTTGTTTTTTCCCTTTTGTTCCTCTTTTTTCATCCTTTTTTCCTCTCTTTTTTCCTCTCGTTTTCCGTTTTTTTCCTCTCTTTTTTCCTTTATTTTTTGTTGTTTCCTATATTTTTTCCTTTTTTTTCTTTTTTTTTCCGTTTTTTTTCCTTTTTTTTTTCCTTTTTGTTTCTCTTTTTTCCTTTTTTTTTCCCTTTTTTTGCTATCTTGTTTTCCTCTGTGTTGTTTTTTCTTTTTTTTTTCGTTTGTTTTTTTTTTTCTCCTTTTTTCCTCTGTTTTTTCCTCTTTTTTGTTCCTCTCTTTTTTCCCTTTTTTTCTCTGTTTCTCCTGTTTTTGTTTCCTCTTTTTTTTCCTCTTTTTGTCCTTTTTTTTTCCTCTCGTTTTTCCTTTCTTTTTTTCCTCTTTTTTTCGGTGCAAAAGGATGAGTTAGTTCTCGGTACAGAACGATAATTTTTCGGTACAAAAGGATGATTTCTCGGTACGAAACGATGATTGCTCGGTACAAAATGATGATTTGTTGGTATACAAAAAGCTGATTTCTCGGCGATTCTCGGGACCAAAGAATTTCTCGGTACGAAAGGATGATTTCTCGGTACCAAAGGATGAATTCTCGGCAGAAAACGATGATCTCTCGGTACAAAAGGATGAATTCTCGATAAAAAAGGATGCTTTCTTGGTAAAAAAGGATGATTTCTCGGTACAAAAGGATGAATTCTCAGTATACAAAAGGATGATTTCTCGGTATCAAAGGATGATTTCTCGGTATACGAAAGGATGATTTCTCGGTACAAAAGGATGAGTTCTCGGTACCATGTACGAAAGGATGATTTCTCGGTACAAAACGATGATTTCTCGGTACAAAACGATGATTTCTCGGTACAAAAGGATGATTTCTCGATATTTCTCGGCAAAGGGTGCTTTCTCGGTACAAAAGGATGATTTCTCGGGACCAAAGGATGATTTCTCGGTACGAAAGGATGATCTCTCGGTACAAAAGGATGAATTCTCGGTAACAAAAGGATGATTTCTCGATACAAAAGGATGATCCTCGGTACAAAAGGATGAATTCTCCGTTACAAAAAGGATGATTTCTCGATACAAAGGATTGACCCACCTGAAGAGAAATCATCAATTTACCGAGCAAATCATCAAATTCCACTTCGATAAACCAATCAAATTGCCCGCGAGAAATCAGCAAATCCATCCAAATTGTACCGAGAAATTCATCAAATTGTACCGAGAAATCCTCACTATTGTAACCGGAAATCATCAAATTGTAACCGGGAATCATCGATTGTAGCCGAGAACATCATCAAATTCTCCACAAAAACAGGATATCCAAACCGACCGGGACTCAGCAAAACCGTACCGTAAAAATTCATCAAGATTGTCCGAGAAATCATCAAATGTACCGGGAACCCATTTAAATTGCCCGAGAAATCATCAAATTCTCATCAAATTGTACCGAGAAATCATCAAACCGTACCGAGAAATCATCAAATTCTCATCAAATTGTACCGAGAAATCATCAAACCGTACCGAGAAATCATCAAATTCTCATCAAATTGTACCGAGAAATCATCAAATTGTACCGAGAAATCATCAAACCGTACCGAGAAATCATCAAATTCTCATCAAATTGTACCGAGAAATCATCATAGTGTACCGAGAACCCAATAGATTGAAATAGTTTATTTTCTGACTATAACCTATTTCACAAGAAGTAGTCTATTTAGATAGAATTGGTAGATTTGGGGGGGTTGAAAAATAGATAGATTTTTGCAAAACAATTTTAATAATAGTTTGATTTTTTTGAGCCTACTTCCTAGGAAATAGTCTATTTCCTAGGAAATAGATAATTTCTATTTGGGGCCAAACTCCGACCAAAGTCTGACCAAAGTACGACGCCAATGCGTGGAAATGCTGGAGGGGTTGCAAAAATCAATCTTCAAACCTTCACCAAACTCCGACCCACGCCTGCAAACAAGGGGCGAAAGTCCGACCGACTTTCTACCAAACTACGACCCCCCTGTCCCGGGGAAAATTTGCCGATTTTGTAAAAATAGACCGATTTCTCAATCATAGATTTAACTAAATAGTAATTTTTTTGTAGACTATTTTCTGTATATAGCCTATTTTGTGAAAACAAGGAGAATAGTTAGAAAATAAGGGTATCTCATCTATTGGGAAATCATCAAATTTTACCGAGAAATCATCAAATGCTACCGGGAAATCATCAAATTGTACCAAGAAATCATCAAATTGTAGACAAAAAACATCAAACCGTACCGAGAAACCATCATATTGATCATATTGTACCAAGATGTGTTTTTTTTCTTTCCCTTTTTAAATGTGTTTACTTTTTCGTGTGTTTTTGAATGTTTTCCTTTGTTATATTTTTCATTTTTTCTTTTTTCTTTTTTTCCGAGGCTAAAATGCTGATCTTTCGTGGCTAAAACTATTTACGTGGCTAAAAAAAATCCTTTTCAGGGCTAAAGATTTTTTTTCGGGGCTAAAAATCGGTCCCATTTTGATGCCAAATATAACAAGTAACCCACATCCACAACCTATTCGACCGGCCGAAAACCTGCAGGAAGTGCCGGTTGTAGATGCAAATTATTGCAAACTAGCATGTGTAACAATATGGAAGAATTGGGTTTGACAGGTGGATAATGGTGGATACCCCATGATACCCCGGAAAAAATCCATGGCTTCTCATCATTCCCAGCATCGGCACCTCGCTGCCGAGATGCTTGGCGGTTGCCAAGGTCCTCATCGTTTCTCCAAAGTTTTGTCCCAGGTCCCCCATCAATTCCAAGGGCCCACCAGAAATGGTTTGGCAAACTTCGAACCCGAAAAGACCCAGGTGGTCCATTTCTATCAACATGTACCGATCCACCCAATTTTGAACTATAATTATAATATAATTTTGGGACCCCTATACTGGACCAGGGGTTCGTTTGGGTGGTCATTTTTTCGCGGGATGGGTTTGCCAACAATTGATCGGGTACAAGAACAAGACCCAAACGTGCCGAGATTCAGGAACCTCAATAAGCTTTCAATAAGCTTTCAATGGATGAATACGAACAAAAAATGGATTGGATGGTTATAGTTATAGTAATATGAAAAACCAATAACACTTAGTATGGCTCCCAAGGTTGAAAAAATACTTTACTTCGAGTGATCCCCACCCTGACACTTATTCGTCAATATTCGTCATAGTTTCTGACATATCATTTGGAAATACATACGGTATAATCTTCTGACATTCTATTCTGGCATTCTACCTGGCATTCTATCTGACAGTGTATTCTGGCATTCTATCTGGCATCTATTCTGACATCCTATCTGGCATCCTTTGTGTCATCTATACTGACATTCTCTCTTGCATTTTTTCTGCCATATGTTCTGGCATACGTGCTGGCATGCTATATATCTGGCATTCTATCTGACATTCTTTTCTGGCATTCTATCTGGCATGTATTCTGACACTCTTTTCTGGCATTCTATCTAGTATATCTTGAGAGATTCTTTGTGGTTGAGGTCCGGCGGGGAACACTCTGATCCTGGGCTTGCTGTTCGGGTGCGGCAGGGGACACTGCGATCTAGCGCTTGCAGTTGAGGATCCGGCGGGGAACACTCTGATCCTGGGCTTGCTGTTCGGGTGCGGCAGGGAACACTGCGATCTAGCGCTTGCAGTTGAGGTCCGGCGGGGAACACTCTGATCCTGGGCTTGCTGTTCGGGTGCGGCAGGGAACACTGCGATCTAGCGCTTGCAGTTGAGGTCCGGCGGGGAACACTCTGATCCTGGGCTTGCTGTTCGGGTGCGGCAGGGAACACTGCGATCTAGCGCTTGCAGTTGAGGTCCGGCGGGGAACACTCTGATCCTGGGCTTGCTGTTCGGGTGCGGCAGGGAACACTGCGATCTAGCGCTTGCAGTTGAGGTCCGGCGAGGAACACTCTGATCCTGGGCTTGCTGTTCGGGTGCGGCAGGGAACACTGCGATCTAGCGCTTGCAGTTGAGGTCCGGCGGGGAACACTCTGATCCTGGGCTTGCTTTTGCGGGTTGCGGCATGGAACACTGCGATCTAGCGCTTGCAGTTGAGGTCCGGCGGGGAACTCCTCTGATCCTGGGCTTGCTGTTCGGGTGCGGCAGGGAACACTGCGATCTAGCGCTTGCAGTTGAGGTCCGGCGGGGAACCCTCTGATCCTGGGCTTGCTGTTCGGGTGCGGCAGGGAACACTGCGATCTAGCGCTTGCAGTTGAGGTCCGGCGGGGAACACTCTGATCCTGGGCTTGCTGTTCGGGTGCGGCAGGGAACATTGCGATCTAGCGCTTGCAGTTGAGGTCCGGCGGGGAACTCTCTGATCCTGGGCTTGCTGTTCGGGTGCGGCAGGGAACACTGCGATCTAGCGCTTGCAGTTGAGGTCCGGCGAGGAACACTCTGATCCTGGGCTTGCTGTTCGGGTGCGGCAGGGGACACTGCGATCTAGCGCTTGCAGTTGAGGTCCGGCGAGGAACACTCTGATCCTGGGCTTGCTGTTCGGGTGCGGCAGGGAACACTGCGATCTAGCGCTTGCAGTTGAGGTCCGGCGGGGAACACTCTGATCCTGGGCTTGCAGTTGAAGTCCGGCGGAGGAAGCGGAGGAGGAGGAGGCGGCAGGACAGCTGACATAAAATCTAACAACCCTCACCTGACAGGTGGGGAAAAAAAAGTGATCCGGACTTGGTATGCTGGGTACGGCTTGGTCCTGCTGGCTCCACCTTCCCAGTCCCCGATAATCTGATGCTATCAGGTGATTGAAACATGTGGGATATCTGGAAATTAAGTTTTACCATGTTTTACCATACTACTTCTGGGAATCTAGTCGTGAAGTTCATGATAGTTTCTGAGATTCTGTTGCCAACCGCTGACTTCTCTATCGGAACATGGGAAGGCCAAGTAAAACTGATATCATCTTTGAAGCAGAAAGGCAGCAACGGCTTTTCGGTACATGCTGCATGTTGAGACCAACACCCCGACAGTATTGTTTACGTCACTCAGAATAGTTCAGAAGGCCCCCACCTAGTGGGATTTGATCGATAAAATCCAACTGGAGCTTTGATCCCAACGTATCCCAACCATTTCCACTGGCCACAAGAAGATAGAAGAACAGTTGAGGGAACAAGGCATGCGCCGTTTTCATCCGTTTTCTCAGGAAGTATTGCGGTTTGACCGACTCTGTTTCCTGCCGCAGGTGAACAGGAACGCTACGACCGATCCTGTGATGAGTCGCGTGGCTCTGACCTTTTGCAGATTCCCTGCCGCGACCGGCACAATAACCGGCGGAAGTGTTGTCGCAGGTCCAGGAAGTTTCCTTTCAATGGAGTCACCTCCCTGCGACTGCAAGTGAGTCTCAGGCTGAAGATTGGAATTTGCATGGAATGGCATGGAATTGCTTGAAATGAGGACTCAAATGTCATCAAATGCCACTAGAACAACTACAGTGCCCAGGCATGGGAGATACAATTGTTCAGAGTTCAGAAGTGAAATACTGTCACCTTGCCAGTCAAAACCTCCAAATTTCCGCTCAGTCGCTTTGTGTCGTGTAAGAAGTACAAGGAAAGAGTGCTTCAAGTTCAGCACAACATATTATCATATATTATCCATCATCTCGTTTAAGTCCGCTTTTCTACATGATCAACCTCTGTGTGTGTGTGGAACCTCACAAATAGACTGCTGAGATCTGCTGAGACTGAGTCCTGATGTCCTTCAGAGACGGTGTGAGCGTGTGCATTCTTGCCCAAGTTGCAATTGGACTCATTGTTGGGCTGCGTTCAGTCTTTTCACCCACCTGTCCGAAATAATCCGGATAGGATCTTGTCCGAATTCCATCGCCAGCCAGACCTCACCCACCTAGTATCCTACCATTTGAATTCAACGGTTCAAGCTTCAAGCTGCGAATTCGCATGCCTCGTGGGCCGCCAAGGGCCATTGGGTTCCATTTCATGCCATTCTGCGCCAAGCAACAGGTGAGCTCAAGGAAAAACGATACAAATATATATATATATATATATATAAATCATTTATATATATATATAATGTATACTGTATACTATACATAATATATC